CTCTCTCTCTCTCTCTCTCTCTCTCTCTCTGTGTGTGTGTGTGTGTGTGTGTGTGTGTGTGTGTGTGTGTGTGTGCCTCCTTCTCCTGTTCCTGGGTTGAATGTCCTTGCGGTTCTTCCTGTACCTTTCTGCTATGCACGTTCTGGGCGCAATGGACCACTTGACAGGCAACGTGCACACTTCAAGGTCTTGGCTTCTAGTGATGCGGCAGCGCTTCCGCTTCCGTCTACGCCAGGATTGAATAAGAGGCAGATCCTGGCACTGCACTGCCTTTCCCGCATCTGTCTTTCTCCTCCAACAGGAGTAATGACCGTTTCCTGCCGGGCCCTCCCTTGGCCGACAGAGATTCAGTGTGCTGTGGCTGTTCCTTGGGACGGACTGCATAGGGACCGGGACTGGACATGCGGCGACCCCTACGTACTGCCTACTAGGGACCTCTACTGTTCCTACTGGTTTCAAGATGCATTGGGAACTGGGACTGGACATGCGGCGACTCGATACGTACTGCCTAATAAGGACCTCTACTGTTCGTACCTGTCTTATCCTATCGCATCCCTATTCTGTCCTGTACAACGTCTATCGGGAAGTGCAACTGCGGCCCCGCGGTAGGAGAGAAAGTGGGAGATGGTAATGGGGGCCGTACTGCACCAGTGCGTGAATCGTTCTACGCCCGCCGACCCAAATTTGAGGTCCTCCGAGAAGTACGACTCCTGCCAGCTGAAGCTGCCTTGTGGTTGTCAGCAATGTCGTTCGCTCTGTTGGTAGAGCACCTGCAACGACTGCACTGCAGTATCAATTTGTATAATGCATAGCTGTATGGATTTGCTCTACGTTGGCGCACGACATTGCTAAAGCGGTTGCTGCATGTTGGGGTTCGTGTAATGGGTACCTTTCCTGGGACATGGTTTGTACTTGGTTGGGGAATTTGCGCTGTAGTTGGGGTTGGGGGAGGGCTAAGGGTTTTTATGCCCGGTAGATGAGTGGGTGTTATATGCATTGTGTTTCTACGTCGGGCTTTGTGATGCTCTTTGAGGTGGGATCTTCAGATGGAGGGTGACTGTCGACCCTCTGCCTCACATTGAGGGAGTTTGTGATCCCGCGGGTGAGGATGACGAGACCCTTTGATAGCTAGCGGGCCTCCATAGTGGAGGTGAGATATGGACAAATATACATGGGTAGACAGAAAAATTATGCTGACATGTGTGCTCCTCATCGTAGTTTGTGCAAGAGAGCAAAATTTGGCTTTGCGAGTCGAGAGGCTGTGAGGACCACATGTACCGGTCACGGAGGTAGGCTGCACCTAACACCGTAGAAAAGAACTAGCCTCGAGGAATGTTGTACCGGAGGAACGAAAAATTGAAAATAATGTTCAAAGCGATGCGCAACCGAAGGGGTTACACTAGGGAGAATGTATACCGAGGAATACCCCCTTCCGCCCCCCCCGCCCCCTCCCTCCCCTGGAAAGCCACCCCCGACCTGCTAGAAGAGGTGGTAGGAGCACCCTCCTCTAGTGTGCCCTCGCTGGATGCTCCAACCTTTTGGTGGAGAATGACACCTGGTGGAAACTGGGTCCAGCGTCCCTGTGTGACATGCGTTTCATAACGACACTGGTAGCCTTACCCAGCTTCGCTTAAAAAAAAAAAAAAAAAAAAAAAAAAAAGCTTCGTTTTTGTATCGTCTGCGGCTTGGCCTCTCGGCTACTTTAGCTATCTATACAACCCTGCCGATCCTAACCTTGGTGCAGCAGAAACAACTAGTCGTCCAATCAAAGGCCCTCCCGTCCCTTCAAGAAGCATTAGCACGTAGCCACCTAAACCCTATACCCTACCCGCTGCCCCACTTACACCGCCAGTACACGCCCCCCAGCGCACCACTTAAAAAAAAAAACGCCAGTACACGCTCCCTGCGCCACTTAAACCGCCAGTACACGCCCCCTGCCCCATGTAAACCGCCAGTACACGCCCCCAGCCTTGCTGAAAAGGTTACTTGCCTCACTTACTAAAGTTTTGGAGGCTCGGCCTACCGGACTGTAATGGCTGGCGGTGCCAGGCAAAACACTTGAAAAAAGAAAGAAAAAGTGCGCCGCTGGCGGTGCCAGCCAAAGAAGAAAGAAAAAGTGCACCGCTGGCTAGGTGGGTATGCTGCTACTCCAGCAATGCATGGCTAGTATCTGTCCCTTGATGCTCCCCCTGACGTCCTGACCACCAGAGACAGCTTAACCCCGGCCATTCTACCTTTCCTTTGGGGGTGGGGGGGGGGGAAGGGGGGGGAATCCTTTGGGATCTGTGGTGCTTGGTCCGGATATTTTGCCATCTGTCACTTAGCGCTGTTCCTGTCCACCCAGTACTCCGCTTCCAGCGACGCGAGTAGCTGCTCCCACGCTTGCTGCACAAACAAAAATCAGCAACGCCTATAATTGAGCGGGGGGTTTCCATAAGTGAAAGCTTACATACTTCTCTAGTTTTCGCTTGGACTGTGGTGCGACCGGCCTCTTGCTTGCCCTGCAAAGCGTGAAACACAGAGGGGCTGCCCTTTATGGCTGTGCGATAAGGACCACTTAAGCCATCTCCAACCTGCACAACCTTTTAAGAAAAACGAACAAAAAGTCGGCCACGCCTATGATTGTAGCGACGGTTTTCCATAAGCGAAGCTTAGATACTCCTCTCGTCTTTGCTTAAGAAATGGTTCATCAGCTTGAATGGGAGATGAGAGCATCAGGAGGAGCTATCTGTTGAAGTCGCAAATCCCCCTGCATGCTTGCCCATAATGCAAGACTACGCCCGGCATCCCATTTTTTGCGTATTTTCCAAACTTAGTGCCAAAATAGGCGCTTTGGCCACCGTTCTCATTTGATAATAATGGGACTCTGATTCAAACGACCAGGTACGGCATCATCCAGTTGACACTTAAGGAAGGTACTGCCCAACTGTGGAGTACATCACCGAATCTTACCATCATACGTATATGAGATTTGGCTGGTATAACCACTCGGTTGTTCTTTTATATGACCACCCTATTCTCCTCGGGCTCTCGGTATACCACCACTTTGTTTGCCCCATCTACCAGTTTTTTCCTCGTCGACCAGTTTTCCCCGTCTACTGGTTCTAAGTCTAGTCCAGTCGACGATCTGACTCTAAGCTGCGGACTTTGTCTGCCCCGTCTACAGGTATTCCCCGTCTACTGGTTCTAAGTTCAGTCTAGTCAAGGATCTGAGCTGCCGACTTAAGTGATTGCTTTCAAATTCAGTGAAATCTGGGATGTAAATAGTACGGACAATCCTGAGCCAAGTCTGATTCGACTTCGTCTGCCCTGTGTGCCGGTTTTCCCCGTCTCCTGGTTCTAAGTTCAGTCTAGTCGAGGATGCGGTCGATGTCATATCCACCACCCGTATCAGGTGGAAACATTGATCGGCAGGAAGGAAAGGAGTGCGCGATAAATCAGCAGGCAAAATTTGGGATGGCACAGAGGAGGAAGATTAGCATGCCCCCTGTGCAAGGATGATGCGCATAAATCGAGAAACGGTCCAAACTATTAAAAAAAAAAAAAAAATGATGCGAAGGAATGCCAGTTGCGTAACAGATCCGGCTTGCTGACGGCCACATCTTTTGGTGGTCGGGGTACAGGACCATAATGGCTGGGGGGCGCCAGCCAAAAGGAGGCTTCCGCTGGCTAGTTTTGGTTATTTGCGCGCAAGCCGATTTTAGGGTCGGCATCAAAAAAAAAAAAAAGAAAGGAAAAAAAAAAGAGTCGACATCAATAGCTGGGTGAAGTGGTGGTGGTTTAGCACTTGGCCCAGCTATCGGCCGTGGCACTTCCCCGTTAATGCGCCACGGCGTTCGGGCTTTGGCCTACCGGACTGCATTGGCTGGATGCCACAGCCAAAATGAAAACAAAAAAGCCCGACGGCGGTTCGGCAGGACTTGGCGCACAGGGGGCTGGGAGGCTCGGCTTCGATAGCTGGGCCAAGTACTGGTGGTTTAACATATAGAATTTTCTTTACTTTTCTTCTTCTTTTTTTTTTTCTTTCCCAAAGCCCAGGGTGTTGTAGAGGCCAAGGACCAGACCCGCGGTGATTGCTGGTAGCGGCAGCCAACGGTCGTCCTGACAGGATAGGCCACCTACGCAACCCGTCCCCACATTAATACACCCAGCGCACCCCGTCCCTACCATCCTACCTCAGTGTGACCAGCCCTCAGAACTGCCATCACCCTACCAGTATCGAGGGCGACTTCGACCAGACA